TCCCTCCCTCCCTCCCTCCGTCCCAATATGACCACAGCATCCATAGAGTGATTCCTGGTGGATCCAAACTGCCAACCTTTCAGTTATCAACACGACATGTTACACACCATGCCACAAAGACTCCTCTGTATAACAGTCACAGCCTAGGAACCCCTATGGGGCAGTCGTACTCTGTGATGTGGGGCTGTCACAGCTGTCACTGATTCCCCAGCTAGGGATTTGGGGTTTTTTTCTAGAGGGCTCACTCACTTAACACCAGGCATTGTTTTAAGACGTTGCATCTATTAGCTAATTTCATTTTATGTTGACTCTCTGAGCTGGGACCTTATTTATTATTCTCTCCATTTTACAGATGGGAAAGCTGAGGCTCAGCGAGGCTAGGCAACTCCTCCCAAGTCATTCAGTGATGGAGCAGGCCTTGAACCTGAGCAGTCTGAGTCCAGATTGCCCTTCTATGACCCTGTAGGGGCCTGAAGCCTCCTCAAGGCTTTTGCTTCTGACATAACGGAATTCCAAGCAGCAGGAGGCAAGGAGAGGCATTTGTTGGAAAAGGAATCAGATTCCATGCAGGGAACTGGCAAGAAATAGCGCTGATTGGCTGCCTGATAAGGATGGAATGGGCTTTGGAAAACTTCACACTATTCCTTAAAGAAAACATGCGATGTGACCTCCCATAAATGATGAGAACTACTGCGAGTATCCCGTGTTTGTATCGCCTTTCCATTTCCACTTTGTAGACGCTCCCTCGGCTGGAGGTGGGCTCAAAGCTGGCCGCACGCAACTTTCCCAGCCCTCTGAGAAATAGGGCACTGCCATTTTCAGCAAGCACAAGAAGGCTGTGCTGCTTGGAAAGGCTATTAGCTCATGCTTCACAATTGGTTTTATTGTTATTGAAGTAGGAAAGGAAGTCCAGGAAGGTTAAATAAGATTTGCCAAATGCCACGGTGCCAGACCATTCATTTATCATCTTTGATAGGATTCTGATCAAACTATTCCTCAAAAGTGGTAAATTCCCTGATTTGGGACCCCCCATACCAAATTATTACAAAGAACCCCATCCTTAGACCAGCATTACTGTCACCCCCTGGGAGTCTGTTCACTCCAAAACCTAATCCATTTCATCTCATAGCAACCCTGAGGATAGATGACAATGATCTCATGGCATTTCCCAGGCTGTCATCTTTTCAGAAGCAGGCTCTTTCATCTTTCTCAGTTGGTGGATTCGAACCTCTGACCTTTTGGTTAGCAGCCAAGTGCTTTAACCACCACACACACCATCAGCACGCCTTTGCTCATTTATTTGTTGTTGTTGTTGATACATCCTATCAAGTAACTCTCCAGCAGTTTTTCAGATGCTCTATGTAAATCACATGGGTTTTGGAGCAGGTAGTGGATTTGGATTGCCTGTCTTTGTGTTGGCAGCGCAACTCCTTACCCCCTAAGCCACCAGAGCTCCCTGGTCATTGCCATAGGAGAATGTAATTCACTTCAGGGACTGGGGGAGGCAGCAGTTTACCAAGGAGAGCACACTGCCCTCTGGTCTGCTGGATGGGCAGGAGTGGAACCCCTCCTGCCTGGAACTGGAGCTGGCTTGACAGCAAAATTGCATCTCATTCTCTATAAAGGAGAAGCAGTCGCTCACGCGAAGCATTTGCCTCTCTATTAACTCAGGGCTCTTGTTTTTAGCCGAAGACCACTGAACTCTTTCTAAATGAAACACTATGGGCAATTCCAATGGACTCAACAAGGCAGTGCCTTGTGTTTTGGGTGAAGTGGAGAGAGGGAAGCCCCTTGATCCACCCTGCCCTGTCTGCCTTGGTAGACTCAAAAGTGTGCCCCTAGGACCTGAGAGGCCTGGAAACACAGAATAGAGAACACCCTGTGAAACAGAGGCCTGCCTCTCATCTACATCATTTCTATGTATCCCCACACACCCACCCACCCCATGGTCTATAAGCCCTACACGTGGAAGCCCTCCAAGGATTTCAGCTTTATAGTTCCCCTCTGAAGCTGAAGGGAATGTGTGACAGACACCTGAACAGGACACGCCCAGTGTGTGGTGTTGCTGAAACAGGTATGCATCACAGCAGCACAAGAAGGGGACTTTTCCCACCTCACAGTAGGCAGGAATACTGTGATATGCCTACTTATGAAGGGACAGTAGGGAGTTGGGCTCTTAACTCAAAGATTTAAACCAGACCCTTTCTGGTGGTTTAAATCCATCTACCAGCAGCACTTCGGGAGAAAGAGGGTCAACCTCCCCTGCTCGCTCCCCTGCCCCAACGAGCAATATGAATCTGACTGACTCAATGGCGATGCGTTTTGATGAGCACAAAGGGAACTTGAGTTCTTTTGTTTTCTCTCACTCCTCTTTGCACTAGAAACACAAGGAAAGATATACATACTCCTAGGTATGGATGTCAGCTTGAGGACTAAGGTGCACCTGATTCAGGCCATGGTCTTTTCCATCACTTGCTATGCATCTGAAAGATGCACAATGAATAAGGATGACAGAAAAAGAATTTATGCCTTTGAGCTGTGGTGTTTAAGAGTACTGAATAGCCCAATAACTAACGAAAAAACAGGTATGTCTTAGAGAAAGTGCAGCCAGAGTGCTCCCTAGAAGCAAGAAAGACAAAGCTTCGTCTTGCATATTTTGAGCATGATCCTAGGAAAGGCTATTTCCTGGAGAGGAACTTTATGTTTAGAAAGGTACAGGGTCAGTGAAAGATAGTTAGATCCTCATTCAGATGGGCTGACAGTGACTGCGGCAAGTGTCAGAGATGGTGAGGATGGCACAGGATAGGACAGGGTTCAGATCTGTTGTTCCTAGGGGCGCTGTGAGTCGTACATGAATTGATGGAACCTAACAACAATAGGCATGGAATGGGAATCCCAAAACAATTGTCCTCATGGGAAACCTATACATAGATCAAGAAGTGTGTGTCAGGGTTGTATCCTTTTCCCATACTTTTCAGTCTGTATGCTGATCAGCCCAAATCTGGATTCTGTGAAGAAGACTGTGTCATCATTATCAGAGGGAGCTCACTTGTTCATCAACTCATTAATAACCTGTGTTATGCAGATGACTGACCCTTCAGTGGGTTTTTTAAGGCTGTAAATAGTGTGGGAGGAGATTGTCCATCTTTCTCTCTCAGAGAAACTGGTGGATTCGAGCAGCATGCCTCTGGGATGACAGCACAGTTCCTTACCACTATGGCCACTAGAGATTAAAAGCACTAAGAGCAAGAGTAATTTGGGCTCAATGTGAAAGCATAACTTAGAAGTTGCTCTTTGAACAAGTTCTCCAGGGATGCTTGCTTGCTTATAAACTTCCTAGCTCCACGGGTCAGCATGAAGCACAGCCTGCTGGGACAGCCCACGGGACACCCAAGAGCTGGCCACCCAGGCAGACCAGCCTACATCGATGTGTTTCCCAAACACCCACTCACCTTCACTCCCAGTGCTTCTCCAGAAATGACAGTGATGGTCACGCCATTCGCGCTGGGTTTTGGGATGTCTTTACTCTTTAACTCCTGGTACTGGGGCTCCACCATCTTCTCAGAGCTCCTCAAATTCACCCACAGCTGGAGGCAATGGGTCGGCTCCTCGGAGCATGGCATCTCAGCGTGCAGGATGCCCCGGCCTGCTGTCATCCACTGCCATCCCAACAAGAAGGCAAACGTAAGTCTGCAGGTGTCACAGTTATGACCCCTGCGCAAAGCGAGCCTCCAGAACGTCTCGAGAGGTAACAGACAACACAGATGATAGGCAACCTTGTAGGAGGCCTTTCCAGTTTTCCCAGTGCTCCCCAAACTTCTACATATAAAGTCACAGCATCTGAACTGAAACCTCTCACAAATGAATCCCTTCCTGTGTGCCCTTGAGCCTTTGTCCAGGTTTTGGAGGGAGATCATGTATTGGAGGGTTCTTTGGGGGTATGCACCTGTCAGAGGTGGAAACTGGACAGGGCTCCCGAGAGCCAACACGGACTGCAATGAGAGGGGAGAGAAGTGGGAGTATGGAGAGACTCCTACTTAACTGGGATTTTGAGATATGGAATTGACTGGGTAGAAGACCTCTAAAGGGACTGAGAGGTCAAGGCTAGAGCATGGGAGGAAGATGAGATGTGCGTGGGTCCGCAAGCTGAGGGCGAGGATAGCGACGAGTGTGGGCAGAAGGAGCCAGGGTGTAGGACATGCGTTCGCGCGTGTATGCATCCTCCCGTACCTTAACCCCAGACTGTACCTGCAGATCTCCTGGGTTCAGAATACCCGTGTGTCCACAGAAGTCTTCATGGGCTATGCTCCCTCCTTCCAGGAGATAAGAGACCTTTATAAAAATAGAAGGAAACAACAGATGGGGTTGAGTGGCTGTGCACCACCAGACACTTTTCCTAGAGACAGAGCTGAGAACAGTGTCAGGAGCAGACAGTGGCAGACACCGAGGGACTGCATCTCCACGGAAGGGGCTATGAGGAAGGGACAGTGCAGTGGCAGGCGCACCCCAAAGGTGCCAGGGCTCCAGGCTAGATGTGAGGTGCTTTCACTGGTTCCCTAAGCCCGATGGCAGGCAGTCCTGTCCCTGAGGCCCTGAAGCTTTGAGTGTCAGATGGCAGCTGACACTCTCATGCTGCCACCCACCAGCTGATGTGGGGGACCCGAAGGGAGCATGTTTCTGACATCAGCCAGCCTCATTGCGAGTGCATGTGAACTCTGTCACATGAACTCATCCAATGCCAGTGTTCCCAGGGGTGTGTCTGCACTGGCCCTCAACTCCAAAAGAGTTTGCAAGAAACACTGTGTGTCTTTACAAAGATGTGTGTCCATATCTGTGTTGTCCAGCAGCATAGCCACTAGCCACATGGGGCTGTTTTGGCCTAAATGAATGAGAATGAAATAAAATGAGACCGTTCACTTTCGCAGGCTGGCTAGCCACATTTTAAGCCATCAGTGGCCGTATCTTTCTCCCACAAGGCACTATGTTCCCAAGGCTCCCATGAGTGACCAGTGGCAACTCTACTGGACAACCATAGAGCAAGTCCATCTTCCTGCCACATTCCACTTGACAGCACTGACCTACATAAACCACCAACACAAACCTCACTTCTGGTGACCCACACACACTGGGTTTCAGAGGCTATAAATCCTTCCAGGATGAGATTGCCCATCTTTCTCCTGAGGAGTGGCTGGTGGATTTGAACCATCCATCTTCCAGTTAGCATTCCAACACAATAGAGGACAGTTAATAACATTCTCATATCATCATGTATACTACTATGTGACTGCTTAAAAGGTGATACTGATTTTTATCTAATTGACAAAGGGAGAAATCACACATTATATCATCCACAGAGTGGGTTATAAAACAGCAATTTTACTTGAATGCAACAATGTGGGAAGATGGGTTTATTTTTTTAACATATTGTATACAGTGAGGCTATGCTAAAATATGAATAGTAGTCAGCTCCAGATGGTGGAGCTGCTGGCACATCTTCTAATCTTCTTCCCACTTTTCTGAGTTTGTAGCTTGTCCATTGAGCCTTGCTTGTTGTCATTGTTCTGAAGAGCAAGGATGTCAGTTTGAAGACTAAGGTGTGCCTGATGCAAGTCATGATATGTTCAGTAGTTTCCTAGGCATCTGAGAGTTGAAAGATAAAGAAGGAAGATCGAAGAAGAGCCAATGCCTTCGAATTATGGTGTTAGTGAAGAGTATTGAATAACCCAGAGACTGCTTAAAGAACAAACAGATCTGTCTCAAAGGAAGTACAACCAGAGTGCCCTTTGGAGACAAGATGGTGAAACATTGTCCCTCTTTCTTTGGGCACATCTCAGGAGGAACTAGTCTTTTGGAGAGAGGCATTGTGCTGGGAAAGGTTGAGTGAGGATGGTGCAGGATTAAGCAAGATTCAGATCTGTTGTTCGTAGCATTACTATGATTCGTAGTGGACTTGACGGCACCTAACAGTAATAACACCACAATGGCCATTTACTTTTTACAAGTGAAATAAACACCTTTTCCCCCCCTCCTATTTGGGAATAAAAACTTAAAATAGTGCCTCACATCAGTGAACAAGCACACCACACTTTTCTTCCATTCAGGCTCCGGAGAATGCTTGTTCCCTATTTACATGACCTGGACCGGGACAGGGGGCCCCCGGGGGTTGTATGAGTCAGAAAAATGATTCCATGTTGTTCGTGAGGACACGGGCATTCTGACTTTAACATGAGTTGCAAGGTGGCCAAGACCTGTTGCTTTCACGCAGGACACCCACTCCGGAAGGGGGAGAAAGTACCAGAGACCCCATACAGTTAAGGGGATGAGCAAAACTGCTTCCGAACTGCAGTCAGCCAGCCTGCCTATAAAGAATGGTGTCTAAAATTGCTTGCCTCGTTCCGCTGCACATGCATCTTTAATTATTTTAATTGCATAATAGAGGCAATTTTCGTTCTGTTTGGGTCCAAGCTTCCATTTGGTTTTCCAAACGCCTCGCTTTCAAATCAGATTCTTTTCCATCCGCACATACTTGTCAGCTCTCAGAGCCCACTGTTGTTGGTAGGCGCCACTGAACCGGCTCCAACCCAGTTACCAAACCCTGCCCGCTCCTGCTCCTTCATCCCAATGTGCTGTGCCGAGCCCATCTCTGCAGTCTCTGTGTTGGTCCATCTCATCGAGGGGCTTCCTCGTTTTCACTGACCCTCTACTTTGTCAGGCACTATGTCTCCAGGGACTGGCTCAAAGTATGTGAGCTGAAGTCTTCCATCATCGCTTCCAAGGAATATCCTGGCCGTCTACAGTATATTTCACATTCTTTGCTTCGACTACAATTGAAAGAACCACATTCGCCTTCACTGTTCTTATTCATTGTCTACTTTTCACATGCCCGTGAGAGGTTTGAAAATGCCATGGCCTGGGTCAGGCACACCTTAGCCCTCAAAATGATATTTACTCTGTCAGTCATGAAGGAAGGGTTCATGACAATAGGGAAGTTAAAACATGTTCCTGTCCCCTGTCTTTCCAGATCTCAGCTGGATGCTTCCCATTTCCTTTACCCACCCCTCCCTTCACACACCAAATTGTACAACTCTAGGACTTTCCCCCCCACCCATCCTCACCCCTCTGCTCCCACCTCTCCTCCTTGGATCCTCATACATATTTTACTAGTTATCTTTCTATTTCTACAATAATGGTTTTGTGCAGTATCTGTCCTTATAAGATTGAGTTAGTTCACTCAGCATAATGCTCTCCAGCCCCTCTCCAGTTATGTAGTAATATTCTAAATCATTGCTTCTGAGTGCTGCATAATATTCCATCGTGTGTGCGCACCACAATTCCTCAATCCATTTGATTACAATTCCTTAATCCATTAGGTTGTGGCTGGACATCTGAGCTGTTTCCATGTTCTTGCAATGGTGAATAATGCTGCTATAAACATTGGTGTACAAGTCTCCATTTATGCCTCAGTTCTCATTTTCTCGGGGTATATTCCAAGCAACAGAATAGCTGGGTCATGTGAAATTCTTATGTTCAGCTTTTTGAGGAAGCGCCAAACTGCCTTCCAGAGTGGTTGTACCATTGTGTAATCCCATCAACAATGTTTTCTTTTTTTAAGATCACTTGTTCTGATTTACATACCAATTGGAAAAACAAACTCATGTCCTGATCATGTTCATAACCTAGAGAATGCCTGTGCTTTCCATTAAAATCCCACCAACAATGTATACGAGTTCCTATCTGGCCACATCCTCTCCAACATTTATTGCTTGCAGTCCTATTAAACTTTGCCACTGCTAAGTGAGATGGAGTGAGATGGTATCTCATTGCGGTTTTGATTTGCATTTCTCTTATTTCTGGTGATTTTAAGCATTTCTTCATATGTGTGTTGGCCATCTGAATATCTTCCTCTGTGAAAAGTCTTTCCATCTCTTTTGTCCATTTTGTAATTGGGTTGTCAGTCTTTTTCTTCTGGAGGATTCTATAAACTTTTTACATGAGACCCTTGTCTGAGATAGTATTGCCAAATGCTTTTCCCCCCCAATCAGTAGGTTTTCTTTCCAGCCTGTTGGGAAGAGCTTTTGATGTGCATAGGGATTTAATCTTTAAAAGGTCCTATTCATCAATTTTATCCTCTCCTGGTTGTGTATTTCTGGCTGTATTTGTCAGCTTTTTTTGTATCGTGGGCTAGGCCTTCTAAACTTGGTCCCACTTTGCCTCTTATGTTCTCTATGGTTTGGGACTTTACCCCTACCTTTTAGCACTTTTAAAAGGCCACAAGCAGTAGATGAGCTCAGTGCAATACTACATTTGGTTTCGTTACTGCTGCTTCTGTGAGCATTAATTGCGGATCCATTAACTAGAAAATCTTTGTCCATTTCAATCTTTTCTCTGTTTACCAAAATGTTGCTTATTGGCCCAGCTATAAGGATTTTGTTTCCATATGTTAGGGTACGTTGCTCGTCATCAGTAAGGGATTCAGTCAAATCTTCTTCACTGAAAATGTGTCATTTTCCTCTAATTCTAGTCCCACATTCTTCTCCATATCTTCTCTATCTTCTCATATTATTGACAGATTAAATAGTATGATGAAAACATACAGCCCTGACACATATCTTTCTTAAATTTTAACCACACAGTATCCCCTTGTTCTGTTCAAATGACTATTTCTTGATCTATGCACAACTTCTGCACTTGACACAATTGTTTTGGAATCCCTATTCTTCAAAATGACGTCCATAATTTGTTATGCTGCACACAGTCAAATGCTTTGTATAGTAAAAAGAACACAAGTTAACATCTTTCTGATTTTCTTTTTTTCAGTTATGATCCATCTGACATCAGCAATGATTCCTTTGTTCCATACCCTCTTTTTAATCTGGCTTGAATTTCTGGCAAGTGTCTATTGATGCACTGTGCCAGCCATTTTTTAAGTGACTTTGTTGTTGTTGTTAGGTGCCATCGAGTCAAATATGACTCCTAGCGACCCTCTGATTGACTTTATCAAAGCTGTACTTGCATAAGACATAAATGACATTGTTCAATAGTTTCCTCATTCCTTTGGGTCTTCTTTCTTTAGAATGGGCACAAATCCTGATCTCTCCCAGTTATAAAACCAAAAGGGAAGCACACACTCAGCTTTCTTGAGCTGAAAGAACTGAAGGCAAAAAATAAGCATTGAGTCACAATAGTAAAGGATTTTATGGGCAAAATTGTGAATGACTCAAAAATACTGAATGGCTCAGAAAGCATTAGGGGAAGTAGAGAGGAATCCACAGAGTCACTGTACCCAAAAGAATTGGTCAACGTTCAATCATTTCATGCAGAAGCATAACAAG